CCCCCTCTCCCATTCGATAGCAGAGTGCAAAATTGCCTGGGGAAAAAAACGCTTCAATAGTTCCGAATAGAAAGAGGCTTTTGCCGCTCTGTGCCAATCGAGGAATCAAAAGAAAAAAAAAGTTTTACTTTCTTATGCATCACAGTTATCGCGATCCTAAAAGCTACGGGTCAGAATAGTGTGCATGCCTTAGGTGTGTGCGCATGAGTGTATACGTGTAATCAACACCTAATTATACATATATATATACATATTTAAAAGTAAGGTAGAAAATGAGAAAGAAAAGGAGAATGAAGTGAAACAAGAAGGGGAGCATTAAAATATCTGTAATTGGCAAGAATTACTTATATAATTACATATACAACAAAATATAGTTTTGTGCGTATGAGTATTTTTACGTGTAGCAAACATCTAGTTATACATATATTTATTTATTTGTTCATTTATTTATTTATGACTATATATACAACAAAATATAGTCATACGAAGTACACTGAAACAGGAGATGAGGAGAAAATGTGCTAAGGCTCGCCGAGAGCCGGAGTTCCCCAGAACAGCGTGACCCGAGGAACAAAGAGCTGCCCGCTAGAGATGGGGAGGAGTGCTTTTATATCCAGGTGATCTCAGCAAATCTTCCGGGTATAAAACCTGACGAAGAAGCATTTCGAGAAAAAAGATCTTCACTGTTTTCAAAACAAAACGCAAAAAAGAAAAAAAAAACACACTACGAAATAACACATGAACCTGGAAATTCCGGTACCACTGTTTTCTCAAGCCTCCTCTTTTTCATCGAGGGAGTCCAAACTCGAACATGTGGGGAAGGGGGTATCGGGAAGAGTGAGGGGAGTGGAGGGGGGCAAAAACTAACCCCGCGAGGGGGAAAAATACAGAAAACTGTAAAAAATGCAACCGGCACCACCTCAGAACCAACGGAAACACAACGCACAACCAAAACGCAAGGCAAAAATTAACATCCAGAACATGTAAAACCCCGTGGAGACAACGTTGCTCGAGACAGAATTTAACGCGGGTCGTTAAAACTCGTCTTCCGAAGTATTGTTTGTAATTTTGAGGTAGTTTTGATAGTTCAGGGAAGGCCGAGAAGCGCGAGGAAGTTCCGACAGGTTGGTCACTTCCTGCTAAAATAACCGTGCTAGGCTCGGACAATACACCCAGAGGCAAAGAAGCATTCCCGGGCACGGCCATTACAGGATATTTTGGACGATCAAAACTGAAATTATTTTTTAAAATTCTCTTAAAATACTATTTTTAAAATTTGAATTATTTTCTGAATATTTTGAACGGTACTACTTTGGGGCCCTCGTACATTTAGCCTCATTTGATCGAATCGAAAATTAAAACGCCCTCCAAATTTACCTCCTTTTAAGAGACAGCGACGTACGGAAATAGCCCGAGTGCTAGCCAAGTGCCAATACCAACTACTCCTTGGCAAAAAAATCTCAATGGCTTTCTCTCCCGAGGGCAGCTTACAAGCAAACTTATAAGCGGGTTTTACTCCCCGACAATATGCCAGTACCAATTTACCATCGAAACGAATGAACGAATCGTAGAGAGATTGGTTGTCCCTGTGGCGGACCTCGAACTCCCCAGGACTTTCTGCACCTACAACAGCGCTATTGCGTTCTACTCAGAGTTGTATAGTCTTTGTTTGCAAAAAACGCCATTCCCGGGACTGTGTAGTTTTTATTACAAAAAAGAGAAAGACTTAGTTTTAATTCCAAAATTCGACAACTTGTTTCTGCTCTTTTTCTGCAGTATAAAACTTGTCAGTGATCACTTAGACGATCTATGAAAAGATGGTTGTTGTGCCTCTTTCCTGCTGCCGCCTTCATTAGCTTTCCGTACACACACAAACACGCACACACACACGCACGTGCACACACATACACATATACACGTACACTGAACAGGCAGTGGGTGCTAACTGTGAAGGTATGCAGCTCAGGATCGAAGGGCC